TGAGGAGCCCAGTATTTGATACTGAGGGGAATACATTGAACCTGTACAGTGAGACCATGAGGAGCCCAGTATTTGATACTGAGGGGAATACATTGAACCTGTACAGTGAGACCATGAGGAGCCCAGTATTTGATACTGAGGGGGAATACATTGAACCTGTACAGTGAGACCATGAGGAGCCCAGTATTTGATACTGAGGGGAATACATTGAACCTGTACAGTGAGACCATGAGGAGCCCAGTATTTGATACTGAGGGGAATACATTGAACCTGTACAGTGAGACCATGAGGAGCCCGGTATTTGATACTGAGGGGAATACATTGAACCTGTACAGTGAGACCATGAGGAGCCCAGTATTTGATACTGAGGGGAATACATTGAACCTGTACAGTGAAACCATGAGGACCCCAGTATTTGATACTGAGGGGGAATACATTGAACCTGTACAGTGAGACCATGAGGAGCCCAGTATTTGATACTGAGGGGGAATACATTGAACCTGTACAGTGAGACCGTGAGGAGCCCGGTATTTGATACTGAGGGGGAATACATTGAACCTGTACAGTGAGACCATGAGGAGCTCGGTATTTGATACTGAGGGGGAATACATTGAACCTGTACAGTGAGACCATGAGGAGCCCAGTATTTGATACTGAGGGGGAATACATTGAACCTGTACAGTGAGACCATGAGGAGCCCAGTATTTGATACTGAGGGGGAATACATTGAACCTGTACAGTGAGACCGTGAGGAGCCCAGTATTTGATACTGAGGGGAATACATTGAACCTGTACAGTGAGACCATGAGGAGCCCAGTATTTGATACTGAGGGGAATACATTGAACCTGTACAGTGAGACCATGAGGAGCCCAGTATTTGATACTGAGGGGGAATACATTGAACCTGTACAGTGAGACCATGAGGAGCTCGGTATTTGATACTGAGGGGAATACATTGAACCTGTACAGTGAGACCATGAGGAGCCCAGTATTTGATACTGAGGGGGAATACATTGAACCTGTACAGTGAGACCATGAGGAGCTCGGTATTTGATACTGAGGGGAATACATTGAACCTGTACAGTGAGACCGTGAGGAGCCCAGTATTTGATACTGAGGGGGAATACATTGAACCTGTACAGTGAGACCATGAGGAGCCCAGTATTTGATACTGAGGGGGAATACATTGAACCTGTACAGTGAGACCATGAGGAGCCCAATATTTGATACTGAGGGGGAATACATTGAACCTGTACAGTGAGACCATGAGGAGCCCAGTATTTGATACTGAGGGGGAATACATTGAACCTGTACAGTGAGACCATGAGGAGCCCAGTATTTGATACCGAGGGGAATACATTGAACCTCTACAGTGAGACCGTGAGGAGCCCAGTATTTGATACTGAGGGGAATACATTGAACCTGTACAGTGAGACCATGAGGAGCCCAGTATTTGATACTGAGGGGAATACATTGAACCTGTACATAGAGACCATGAGGAGCCCAGTATTTGATACTGAGGGGGAATACATTGAACCTGTACAGTGAGACCATAAGGAGCCCAGTATTTGATACTGAGGGGAATACATTGAACCTGTACAGTGAGACCATGAGGAGCCCAGTATTTGATACTGAGGGGAATACATTGAACCTGTACAGTGAGACCATGAGGAGCCCAGTATTTGATACTGAGGGGGAATACATTGAACCTGTACAGTGAGACCATGAGGAGCCCAGTATTTGATACTGAGGGGAATACATTGAACCTGTTCAGTGAGACCGTGAGGAGCCCAGTATTTGATACTGAGGGGGAATACATTGAACCTGTACAGTGAGACCATGAGGAGCCCGGTATTTGATACTGAGGGGGAATACATTGAACCTGTACAGTGAGACCATGAGGAGCCCGGTATTTGATACTGAGGGGGAATACATTGAACCTGTACAGTGAGACCGTGAGGAGCTCGGTATTTGATACTGAGGGGGAATACATTGAACCTGTACAGTGAGACCATGAGGAGCCCAGTATTTGATACTGAGGGGGAATACATTGAACCTGTTCAGTGAGACCACGAGGAGCCCAGTATTTGATACTGAGGGGGAATACATTGAACCTGTACAGTGAGACCATGAGGAGCCCAGTATTTGATACTGAGGGGGAATACATTGAACCTGTACAGTGAGACCATGAGGAGCCCAGTATTTGATACTGAGGGGGAATACATTGAACCTGTACAGAGAGACCGTGAGGAGCCCAGTATTTGATACTGAGGGGGAATACATTGAACCTGTACAGTGAGACCATGAGGAGCCCGGTATTTGATACTGAGGGGGAATACATTGAACCTGTACAGTGAGACCATGAGGAGCCCAGTATTTGATACTGAGGGGGAATACATTGAACCTGTACAGTGAGACCATGAGGAGCCCAGTATTTGATACTGAGGGGGAATACATTGAACCTGTACAGTGAGACCATGAGGAGCCCAGTATTTGATACTGAGGGGGAATACATTGAACCTGTACAGTGAGACCATGAGGAGCCCAGTATTTGATACTGAGGGGGAATACATTGAACCTGTACAGTGAGACCATGAGGAGCCCAGTATTTGATACTGAGGGGAATACATTGAACCTGTACAGAGAGACCGTGAGGAGCCCAGTATTTGATACTGAGGGGGAATACATTGAACCTGAACTCATGGAGATATTAAACTTTATCTCACTTAGTTATTTATTGTTTTCTATTTCAATCAGTGTAATGAAAGTATAAGTATTCTTTTTCAGCAACCTATGCTCGTGATAGGAGGTGACAAAATTCAGGGCTCGATTTAAGGAACTGCATTTAACTTGCACCAGGTGTATGTTGACATGAAAACCTAGTTACGTCCAGCTTGTGGGTGTGGCTCCATTGCTTCATGTGACCCGTGAAGACCCGGGGTAGAATAGGTCTTCAGCAACCCATGCTTGCCGTAAAAGGTGACTATGCTTGTCGTAAAAGGCGACTAACGGGATCGGGTGGTCAGGCTCGCTGACTTGGTTGATGCATGTCATCAATCCCAATTGCGAGGATCGATGCACATGATATTAATCACTGGATTGTCTGGTCCAGACTCGATTATTTACAGACCGCCGTCATATAGCTGGAATATTGCTTGTGGGTGTGGCTCCATTGCTTCATGTGACCCGTGAAGATTCCGGGGTAGAATAGGTCTTCAGCAACCCATGCTTGCCGTAAAAGGTGACTATGCTTGTCGTAAAAGGCGACTAACGGGATCGGGTGGTCAGGCTCGCTGACTTGGTTGATGCATGTCATCAATCCCAATTGCGAGGATCGATGCACATGATATTAATCACTGGATTGTCTGGTCCAGACTCGATTATTTACAGACCGCCGTCATATAGCTGGAATATTGCTGAGTGCGGCGCTAAACAAACAAACAGACATAATAATGAAACATGGTTGGTGCACATGGAAATATAAATATATAAATATACATAAATATATGCAAGATATGTTCATTAGGTAATTCCGACAGTTCTTAGACAAATCTTGTTCAGTAAATTTAGCACAGTTTTTAAGTACACAGTTTATAAGTACAAGCTTATTGCTATAAGTAGCTTCTCGTACGATTGTAGATTAAACCATCATCTGTTGGGAAGTGTCTATGCACTACAGTCAAAGAGTATAAGTGCAGTTCATCTTCAGCACTATTGCTGTTTTCAAATTCCACATAATAAGGGTATAATATATTTATACTTTCACCATCTTCATTGTGACAATACAGTGTGGAGGAAGCTCATGCAGTCTCAGCAGGCACAAATTCATTCTATGTTCTTTATCACTTGCAGTCAATACATAAAATTCGACCGTGAAGATCCGGGGTAGAATAAGTCTTCAGCAACCCATGCTTGCCGGAAGAGGCGACTAACGGGATCGCGTGGTCAGGCTCTGTACCAAAAAGATTTATTACCATTTGTAGTGTCATCATGGCCGCTGAGGCCTTTGAGGTACAAGTTGAAGCGGAACAGAGTCGTGGCTACATGTTTATATGCTCGGTGGGGGTTGGACTGAGCAGAGGACGTTGTGTCTAACGTAGCATCCAACAACTATGGTGCCGAATACTTGTAAATAAAAAATCAATATTTTGTCAAGATATCTGTGGGCGGATCCATGAAAAACAACACCCCAGACTCTGTTGTCAAAGCCCTTAGGAAAATATTTACAACTGATCCCATGCCAAAACCCAGAAGGTCGGAAAAAGGCCGTGAATTCAACAATAAAAAAGTGAAAGGATAATTACAGGGTAAGGGAATCACTTATGTGACCCAGAATAAAACCAAAGCGTCTCGTGCTGAGCGTGTGATTCGTACCCTTAAGACGACCATGTGCAGATTTCTTTACTACAAGCAAACGTATCATTACCTGGATGTACTACACGATCTGGTGACAGACTATAATCACAGACCACAGATCAGTAAACCAAAGATTAGACATTGAAAAGAATAATGAAGCTTTAGTGTGGAAATAACAGTATATTGGTACATTAAACAAAAAACACACCCGTCAAATCTAAGATCTGCCGGGGTCCATGCAGGAAGCAAAAGTACTGTCGGTCCCCATGGCTCCTAGTATAGCGATCTTCCTTCAGTTGCTGGCGATGTATAGCCCGTTTTTATATTGTGTTGCTGACTACTAATTTATTCTTTTATATGTTCTCAACTAGTTTTAAATCGAATCTGTGACAATCTAGTTATTCTACTGTCCATCGTTGACCGTTTTTTATTCAATCTAAGTATATTGAGTATTTATGTACAGCTACTCGTCACGATATGTCTGAAATATTGCCGATGTGAGTTTAAATTTTAACTCACTCACTCAAATCTAAGAATGAGACTAAAGTTAAGGTTATGACTGAACCAATCAAACGACACTTTCAGTTTGAAAAGCGTGTTCAGGTCAGGCAGTCTACGTTCCAAAGAGACTATCAAGACAATTGGACAGATCAAATATTTATTATCAGAAGACAAAACTATCGAGATGCTGGGCGCAATTTATCATACAACGATCAATAAAGTCAAGCGATAACAAAACGTGATATATGGATATAAAATGAACGGAAAGTTTTTGAAAATGAATCTTGAAATGTTGACACACGCAAAGATGGCAAACACACTTTCTACTTGAAACAAATATCTATCCCGTTGTTAGAAGTAAACAGATAAAACACGTTACGGAAGGAAGAAAACTCCATTTCCCATCCGATCCCAGCCAACTCCCACCCCTGATGGCTGAGGGCAGTGGTGTTAGCCTAGAGGAAGCTATCGAGCGACACGGGAAGGCTGGAAGACCTACACCAGCACTTGACCTAAATACGGAATTCCCTGAACAGAACACCTGTGTACAAGGACGTATGTGTGACAGGACACCCGTGTACAAGGACGTATGTGTGACGAACCACCGTGCGCCAAACATAGCACTTAAGTGATTTAGCAGCGCTTTGAATGGGCGTCCGATGACAACTTATAACTGTATAGTTATGTAGTTGTTGAAGACTTTAGGCTTCTGATTTTGTTTTCGAAGATTGTATGTGATATTGACAAATACTATACCTTTGCTACACACAAATAAGTTAAATCTCTATCTAAACTTGGAGTACAGTTGTAACATGAGCCTTTGTTCTGATATATATTAAATTTAGCTAAATCTACCACAGAAACTTGGAATACGGCAATAACGTTTCCTTTCTGAAGAATATTAATGCCGCTGAATACAGAAAAACAAAACCATGATGCACACGTAATCACTACTAAACTCTTCTATACATAAAATGGACATTTCACAGCTACTGACAGGCTTAGAATCGTTGATTAGTGAGTGAGTGAGTTGGGTTTACCGCCGGCGCCTTAGACGACTGGGCCACCCGTGCCCCCGAAGCGTTGATTAGAACACATATTACACATTGATAGTTCAGAGGAATTACGGATATTCTCTGTCGTGAGCCTTCAACTACTTTCAACATTAAATGTCTTTTGGATGATCCTTGTAACACTTCTTTGAATTCTTACTCGAGCGTATGAGCGATTGACCTGATCTGTTCAGCAACTTCTGATGGGGTTTTCTTGTCAATCTTAATGCTGTTGGACACAATTTCGGCAATGTTGAGGCCGATGATGACAGGCGGAAGTACATACAACATTGTGGATACACCAGTAGCAGCAGCCCGGATTCCGCCCGTTTCCCCACCAACACTAGTCTTGTGGGTATAGGAGGCGTTGATCCTATTTACTGCTGCCTGGGCAGCTTTCAGTTTCTTGCTGTTAACGATCCTTTCAGCAACATTTGTGGCCAAGGCTCCTGCTCCACTGACGGCTCCACCAACAAGACCACCCGCGGTGATAGCGAGAGATGCTCCAAGGGTAAACGGAGCCAGTACCAGCCCACCGATAACAGCTCCAGCAGATGCAAGTCCTGTTGATGCAAAAGTGGTTTTGGCGATACGGATGTCATGTTGCTGTTTGTCCAGCTCATCTGCTAGTTCCATTAGTGTTCGGATCACCTCTCGTCTCTCGCAGTCCATATCTGCAAACAATCAGCACTGTTTCACGTCAGCAATCAACACACTAAACCTGCATGTCGTAAGACTTGGCTGTTGTATAAAACATATCTTGAGTGTGATGGAAGCTCATCTACCAGGAGATTGAAAAATGCTTGATTCCGATTAGTTAAAAAGACGTATCCTTTGCCCCACTGATACCTCTTTTAGATTAAGCCTTTACTCACAAAAAACATGCGTATGAAAACAGCTTACGCATCAATGCATATAAGAATTACTACCGATAACCCTTTAGAATATTGCATACATTCGAGATCAGAACATCAGCTGATCACACATGATGAAACATATTTCAGAACACTGACAATTAGGGAAAACTTACACTGACCATTGCGTCCGGGCCACCTAATCAGTTTCAAAGGTGTCGGTCTCGTGTCGTGTCTCGGTTGCTGCTAAAACGGTCATACTTCAGGGTGTTTCCGAAGGCAATGATTGTGCCAGTAGGCTAATTTCCGTCGGTTAACAACAGATCAGCTATTTTGCCGGTGTCAAGTTCCACCAGGTCGGGGATGGAGAACTAGTCTGTCGTAGTAAGTATAGTAATGTTGGGGAGATATTTCAAGTCTACTGCTACATAAGTACAACTTCAAAATACCTCCTGCAGTTTGTGGCAGAAATAGATTCGTTCAGCATTTTTTTCGCTATTTTATCAACCGGTCACCCCTACACTAAGAGTTGTCATGCTGATGTCCAAGAAATGTCGTTGTACGTCGATTTCAAAGAAATGACACACACACACAGACACACACACAGACACACACACACACACAGACACACACACACACAGACACACACACAGACACACACACACAGACACACACACAGACACACACACACAGACAGACACACACACAGACACACACAGACACACACACACACAGACACACACACACACACAGACACACACACAGACACACACACACAGACACACACACAGACACAGACAGACACAGACACACACACACAGACACACACACAGACACAGACACACACACACACAGACAGACACACACAGACACACACACATACAGACAGACAGACACACACACACACAGACACACACACAGACACACACACACGCTAAAAGGTCCGATAAGAGGTTACTTATCCACTGTGGGACTACATCAAATTTATAAAAAGTTTATCTCTTGAGTGTCTTAGATATCGAATGTATCCCATGTTATTGCTCCGGTATGACTTAAGTAGTATGTAATATATATTCGTGCTTGGTGAGATGACATCACTCACTTATGACAGCCGTATTGTATCCCACACCGCACATCAATCATACCACTCTCCACCCCCACAACACCGCAAACCATCCATTCCACTCTCCACCCACATCATACCGCACATCAATCATACCACTCTCCACCCCCATCACACCGCACATCAATCATACCACTCTCCACCCCCATAACACCGCAAACCATCCATTCCACTCTCCACCCCCATCATACCGCACATCAATCATACCACTCTCCACCCCCATCACACCGCACATCAATCATACCACTCTCCACCCCCATAACACCGCAAACCATCCATTCCACTCTCCACCCACATCATACCGCACATCAATCATACCACTCTCCACCCCCACCCCCATCACACCGCAAACCACCCATACCACTCTCCACCCCCACCCCCATCACACCGCAAACCACCCATACCTCTCTCCACCCCCATCATACCGCACATCAATCATACCACTCTCCACCCCCATAACACCGCAAACCATCCATTCCACAAGGCAGGGCGGGACAACTTAGGAATGGCCAGGAGTCCGAACTTGACCACACAGAAGGAAGCGAGCTACAAAAACATGTTTTATATCATTGGAAAGCTCTCGAGGAGTCGAATCCAAATAATGTGTGTCCCAGTGTGTTCACATGTTCACAAGCTCAAAAATTGGCTCAGAAAATGCATTACTGCAGAAATTTCTGGCCGAATTTTTTTTTTCTGCAGAAATTTCTGGCAGTATTTTTTTTTTCTACAGAAATTTCTGGCCGAATTTTTTTTTTCTACAGAAATTTCTGGCCGAATTTGTTTCTGCAGTAATATTTAGCAGAATTATTTTAATTCAGTAGAAATAAGATTCAATCATTGGATAGTTTAACCTGGAGTTGCTTCAAATGACCTTTTTCCTCAAAACAAACATTTTTAGTTCACATGATTACAATCTTTGGAAAGTTTAAATTGAATTCAGCAATTGAAGATATCTATCTTGGTATTATATTTACCAAATTTATCAAGAAAAGTTGACGTCACTCGAATTAAACAATGGAACAACATGTTGGCCTCATACCTTGACCATCTTCAATGGCCTTTTGACGACTTGGAAGTGTACAACATTAAAGGTGAATGTGATTCTCAGAAATTTCTGGCAGTATTTTATTTTTCTACAGAAATTTCTGGCAGAATTATTTTTTTCTACAGAAATTTCTGGCAGAATTTTTTTCTGCAGTAATTTCAACCATCAATCTTTGGAAAGTTTAAATTGAATTCAGCAATTGAAGATATTTATCTTGGTATTATATTTACCAAATTTATCAAGAAAAGTTGACGTCACTCGAATTAAACAATGGAACAACAGGTTGGCCTCATACCTTTGTATACTAGACAGATGCAAATCATTGAACCTTGAGCTTACCCTATAATTATCTAAATTATTATGAGAATTTCAGTGACCATCTTCAATGGCCTTTTGACGACTTTGAAGTGTACAACATTAAAGGTGAATGTGATTCTCAAAAAATAAATTTCATAATTATTCCATGGGGCCAACCAAATATATAATCCCCGGTTGGAATTCAAAGAAACAACCTACATGTGATATACGGTACTCTGAAAGTAGTTTAACTTCAGACATGGAAAAAAATAGAACACAACCAAGATTTTACAATATAACTGCATATATTGTTTCATAAATTTCATTGTGCACATCTCATCTTATATATGTATATATATATACAATTCTAAATACACAGCTTTACTAAGAAACAAAAACATACAAAGTACAAAACTCCTGCAATGCAATCCTCGGCAATATCTCAGCCACATAGCTTAGACAAAAAATATGTTCATTTCAGCAAAACTTGCTGCTCCTTCTTTATTGATCTGATACTGACGCTTGTCTTCGGTGCTTTGTCAGAGTGATCTGAAAGTAAAGAAAAAAAATGTAAAGAATATGAGAACATAATTAAAATCACAGTGCATCTATACAATAAAAGCAAAAATAGTAACCTCATGAAGTTGGGTTGTTTCTCTGCCCACATTACACATATTCTAAGTAACGCTGACTAACCCTAATATTACACATCACAATACATATTTCAAAAGAAATGCAATATTTATTGAAATTACCTTTGATTTTTTTGCAGTTTTTCATTGTTCTTCTCTATTGCCTCTTGAACTTTAGTTGGGAGGGATGTCGCTTCCCTTGGGGCAGGCATGAAGGGCTTGAAGTCTGATAGCTTGGTGGTGGGTGTGCGGATGTCCCCAATCTTGGAGGAGGGCATCGCGGGTTGTTGCAGGCTTCTGTCTAAGTTCCCTTGCAAATACACTAAACGGTTGATCCACATCTTCATGCGTGTTCCCCACCATGAGAAAGAAAGTTTCACCTGAAAATAGTATTTACATCAGTATTATCACTATGAAAACAAATCAAATTGTACAAAACTTGTTTATTTTTACAGAATACTGATTTGAGCATTGAGAATATTGAGAGAAAAATCAATCTTGTGCATTTAAAAAGTTTCAACATTGTGTGCAGATTCTTGTATACTTAGGATGAGCAACTGGACATGAAATACTTGCTTCAAAACAATTCCAATGTGGTTTAAAACAATTTACATAAATTATAAAAATATTAACCACATGTGACTTCAGCATTTACTTTGAATTGTATAGTATAGCCTCAAGGAATAAATATGCTATACATGATATTGTATGTGGAGTCATATACCAATACTTCATTGATAACTATCTTCATGATAGCACTAAAAGTGATACCTTGGATTGCAGCGTCCACTTTTGACTGGCCGACAAAGTCTTGCAGCTTTACTGGTCCTGGAAATGTCAAATAAATATTTGAACAATACATAAATTGCAACTTTAATGTAATTGGATAGTCATACAAACATAACAATTGCCAATTTCCATTCTCAAATATCCACAATTCCTCCAAAATTAGACAAGCCTACCAGACAAACATTGAATTTATTCAACAGGCCCATACCAAGCATTTAGCTAAGACAAAGATAAATTTCTATCCTTCTAAACGTGTGTTACAAATATAATGTACAAACAAATGTCTTGACATACATGGCACGATCCCATTACAAAACAAATCCCGTTACATCCTTTACTAATAATATTGGACAAACTACAATAACGTAACCCATATATGTGCACTGTGGATACTAAGCTCCACTGGTTTCGAAATAAGAATCTACATAACTCCCTACCAATAGGATATGTAGACAGTAATATATGTTTTGGTTTGGTTTGTTGTTTACTGCCGCATTTAGCAATATTCCACCTATATGACAGCGGTCTGTAATTAATCGAATCTGGACCAGACATTTCAGAGATTCATATCATGAGCATCAATGCAAGTCAGCGAGCCTGACCACGCGATACTGTTAGTCGCCTCTTAAGACAAGCATAGAATTCACTGGAAACTGGAAAGGAAATATCACAAAAAGACATGTTGTGCTTGGATACCAATTACACAATAATGACCCATTAAATCTTATAATTATTCGGCAACAATGCAGTTTACCGGGCGCAGCCCGAGCTCTACCATCCGCTCAATTACCGCGCTATAGTGCCACGCTGTCTCGTTATACCGTTACCGTGCCTCACGCTCTGGTGACTCTCGCTTCACGATCCAACACCCGTTTTCGGTCTTAGGGAAACTTACACATCTTTACAATCAAACACCCATTCTCGGTCTTAGGGAAACTTACACATCTTTACGATCAAACACCCGTTCTAGGTCTTAGGGAAACTTACACGTCTTTACGATCCAACATTATCATAAAGAAACCATGATCCAAACAGAAGGCAAAGGTTCTTCAAGATATATACAGTGTTTGGTGTACAAAAATAGAATAAAATGCCTTACCCATGTCAACGTTGTTGAAGCAGAGCTGGTGAACCCTCCTCAAGGCATCCAGAGCTTCTCACTGCGACCAGAACTTGGGTTTTCGATGTGATTTACCGACTGGTTGAATAGTTATCGTTTGATCGTCTGACAGAACGTTCTCGACGATTTAACGATATTTAACGATACCTGATTAGGGTTAAATCTATATATACCATTTTTATGGTCGGGCGTCCACGGCTGATTGGTATATCAAATCAAACACAAGGGTGTATATCATGCCCCTGAGTGTTCACGCCTCACTGGGTGGTCACGTAATAAGGTGTGGCACCAGCATCTCGGGTTACAATTTGATATTAATTCAAGTACTCCACTGATAATGTACATAGGTAGTTAACTTAATTACATTCAGTTTTGTCCGACAAGGAGCGAGTTTACTTTTTTTTAGACACAGACTTTGTAACAGGCTCTTCCCCTGGAAACACATATATTGTAAATAAATATTTTGCCATTTCCATCAACTTTATCACGTGATGTTCTATAACTGTTGTCTTGTACACTATCCATAGTGTAAGTCAGCTGGCTCGAGGAATTTTCATATAGTATTATCATTAAACAACATACCCTATGCAACAGTTATGTTGCTACCCAGACAAAACTATTTTTATATTCTATGTTAAATGTAAACGATCAGTTTTTATTATAAATACAAAACCACCTTTTAAGCGGTAATACCTATCACGCATTAAACAACATATATGAACAACCATGTGATTATAAAGTCTCACGTTGGTTCCTCCGTGCAACTTCATGCATGACTTACATTCATATTGTTCTTTCACCACACTTACGCTTCTCCAAATTTAGAAAGAAGCTGTGTACACAGTGTTCTTGCGAGTTACAATAACGCGTCCGGTTTGGCTGCAACTTCAAACAGTGGACATATGGTTGCTCCTTCAGGTAGCTATAATTACCCTCTCTATAATGCAATATCGTATTATCCATTTGTAATGAATGATAGTAACACTAAATCGGATTGGATTCAGTTAAATCTACATTTCTCAAGGTCTCTAACATCGAGATTTGAAATATCTTTCATGTAAATACCTTCTTTGTCATGTGACTTGTATATATTCGTGTATATTCAGAATCGTACCTACGCACAATGTCTTTGCACAATGGCACAAGCAACGTGGTCTCTTTCTGTAAAACATAGCACTCTTTATTTCAGCCACAGCAAAGATCCCGAACCACGTGCAGTCAGCAGAGTTACAGCGTCTGGTTACCGTCTTGCAGTTACGATACAGGTAAGACGTCAAAATATTTATTGTTTTATTTCTGGAAACGCCGACCCTACAACGTGGAATTTTGGTAACAAGGTTATTTCATATAACAACAACCAAATAACAACCTGTACTCCAAACAGTGAATGTTTGGCTCTGCTGCCATGCGAAACGCGTTTTGTAAGAGTCTAATTTTAGTGTATTTATTTCTACCACTTTTGATAAAAAAATACGCAAACAATCTAATCTGAAAAGGAGATATCTCCATCCCCTATGGTGTTATTGCGACTTGTATACTGTCTACATGTACATTAGGCAACTTATTGTAGCTGTATGGCGACACTTGTAGTGTAGCTATGTGACCATGAATTTGCCTGTGGTGATCAGTGAAAACACGGAAAATTACAAAATACCAATCCATGCAGTATTTTGATAATTTACATGCGAGTTTTCTATTATTTATAACGTTAGAAATATTTAGATAAAAATAACTTTATAGACCCAATGTTTATTAATATAACAAATTGTTGTAGTAATGTTTTCCTAAAATAAACATATATATCATCTTCTCTTATTGCCCAATCAAAGCTGGTGCTGAGACAATTTAGAATACCCAAACGACGCATATTTTTACGTGCCGTGCCGCCAGACTTCCTGCCAACTTGGAAATTAAATATCCTCGGGTATTGTCACTTCATACGGTGATACATTGTCTCGCGCACGTGGTCGGTGGGTATTGTCTATCAGCGCCACGATCACGTGATCGTTTTGTTAATTACTCTGTGTTACGGTCTCGCCGATCCTAAACTTTCAAAGCCTTCAATAAAATTTATGAGATCATTATCTTATCTTTATTCCGACTGAATCCACCTTTATTTCAGACGCCCCCTCACACACACACTCCCAATGCAAATTCACTGAGGCTTGACCGTTACCAATTAACAGCTGTCAATTAAACAGTTCGCATCTAAGTAGTATGTTATCGAATATATTGAAAACCTTAAGCGTGCTACTTTGGGGGGTGGGTGGGGGTGGGGTGGGGGGGGTGGGGGGTTAAAGGAGGGTGTTGGTTGTTCACAGGGTCACTCGACAATCACAATGTATACGGGTATTTCAATAATTGTATGATATATTTAGTCCTTGGGCAGCCCCAATCTAAAAACAACAATAAAATCCTAACTCTCACCGACTGTCTTAGTGGACTAAAAGCCCTCCAAAACAAAAATACCAAAAAACGACCTAAATTAATAAACCAAATACTTAAAAGCTCCGACGACCTAAAAAAAGCAGGCAAACAAATAACCTTCTTGTGGATCCCCGCCCACGTAGGAATTTACGGCAACGAAAGCGCCGATAAAGCAGCTAAATTATCTCTCAAAATACCAGTAATAAGCCTAAACCTACCCATCTCAAAATCAGAAATTAAAAGTGTAAACAAACAAAAAATAACCAAAAAATGGCATAATCAATATCAAAACTCAAATAGCCAAATCAAAAAAGTGCTCAGAAAACCACTAGCCAAACCTAAAATCCTACACCTCTCTAAAAAAATTGACAGATTTATTACAAAACTCGAAACAGGACACACGAACCTAAATAACCACCTAAAAAAACTTAAAAGACACGCCACAGGAAACTGCCCCCACTGCAAACAACCCGAAACCACAGAACACGCACTCATCCACTGCACCCACTACCAAACACACAGAACCACACTACAAACCACCCTCAATCTAAATAAGGTTCCTACTCTAGATGAAATACTAAACCCTCAAAATAAACTAGAAAACTTCAAGGCCCTAGGCGTATTCCTAATCAAAACAGACCTAATTAAGCGCATCTAAAAACTAATTAATCTACCAATCCAAAATCCAATAAACATACAAACACCCACCTCACCCGGCTCCCTTAGTTCCCTCCTCCACCCACCTCGGCATTTATTCCAAATTTAAAAATTCCAAAACTTCAATATAAGCAACCCCTAAAAGCCCCCTCTTGGGTTGCACACATCACTTTCACCCTATTCGGAATACAATAAATGGTCCGGCCAGGCCCGTGTGCGAAATACGCTACAGTCGGAAAGCGCACGTTAAATCTCCTATATCAGTCAGTCCCCAGTGTTTCATATCATTTTCCCACCAAACTAAACAAGAATAACCCCCAACTGGATATGTCAAGCGAACTAATTTTCGTTTCGTCTGTCGATTCATATTTTGGAAATTCAAGGGGAACCACTCCGGCTTATGCAGCACACACATTTGGGAAGGTTGCTTCAATAATAATAATACTTCTTACCATGGTTTCACAGTCGTTTGGAACTTTTTTAAGATCTGACACCAGATTATGCTGTCCGAAAATTTATCTATTTTTTTTAGTGGAGACAGGCCTATCGGAAATTCGAACTTGAACAGCAACGCCAAAACCACATTCCGCCGCAGTGACCAGCTGCTGATGACATAGACTAGGCTAGCTTTACACTAAGTCTTGTACCAGGCTGGTCCCTCTGGATAGTAGGTCTGGTCTCTCCTTTGCCCTTGGACCCCCTTTCCGATCATAAGGGTTGAGTACCCCTTGCCAATGAAACACGTGCTACCATCCTTTTACCTTAGAGCACCCATTTACGACACATGGGGTTAGTTTTGAGCTCGGTTATGGTTTAGAAGTCTCTTGATATAAACATATTTATTTCCATAAAGTGGAGGGATTGGCAAACAAGCAAATTTTGCTTATCTGAATGCCTCTCCTAAACATGATACATAAGTCTCTTTTAACGAATTAATCCAATTTAATTTTCGCAGTATACTCATCCTTATATAATTTCAGCTTCATGACAGTGTGAACATTGAGTGCCCCCTACACAAGTATGCAGTCACTGACAACTGATGGAGTGACCTATACAAAACGGAGGATGCAGACGACTAGTACAAGCACGCACGCACACACACACTCACACGCACGCACGCACATGCTATATAAGTGCAATTATCTTGGACGCGACATTCAACCCAATTTCAACTCACCTCACTTATCTTACTTTGTTCATGTGCCTAAAGCTTGTGGAATGTGTTAATTACTGAAATGAAAAGCATTTTAATGTTTTTTTCATATCTTTTCAGAATATGTGCACATAGCTTTCAATGACCAGACGAAAAAAAGAATTCATTTCAAGTATGTTGAGAAGAAAACGTAAGTAAAGCACACTATTTACATTCATAATACATTTTATTCCGCAGGCTCTATTGTTAAGTTAAACTCTAGCTGCGTATAGGCTGCCATTATCCATTATATTAGACAATATGGATCCACTCATCTATACATCTATTTTCTTTTGTGACAGGACCCATCTCTGAAAAAATCACCTCACCCAAGAAAATACGACTCATTCATGAGAATGAAAAGTGCAAAGTCTCCCAAGGAATTGTCTTGTAATATAGCATGTGAATAAATAATTTTTTGAAATATCTCACGAAATTAGTTTTATTTTATTGCTTGTAATCATGTGAACTAAAAATGTTTATTTGAGGAAAAAGGTCATTTGAAGCAACTCCAGGTTAAACTATCCAATGATTGAATCTTATTTCTCCTGAATTAAAATAATTCTGCTAAATATTACTGCAGAAAAAAATTCGGCCAGAAATTTCTGTAGAAAAAAAAAAATTCGGCCAGAAATTTCTGTAGAAAAAAAAAAAATACTGCCAGAAATTTCTGCAGAAAAAAAAAATTCGGCCAGAAATTTCTGCAGTAATGCATTTTCTGAGCCAATTTTTGAGCTTATGAACATGTGAACACACTGGGACACACATTATTTGGATTCGTCTCCTCGAGAGCTTTCCAGTGATATAAAACATGTTTTTGTAGCTCGCTTCCTTCTGTGTGGTCAAGTTCGGACTCCTGGCCATTCCTAAGTTGTCCCGCCCTGCCTTCCACTCTCCACCCCCATCATACCGCACATCAATCATACCACTCTCCACCCCCATCACACCGCACATCAATCATACCACTCTCCACCCCCATAACACCGCAAACCATCCATTCCACTCTCCACCCCCATCATACCGCACATCAATCATACCACTCTCCACCCCCATCACACCGCACATCAATCATACCACTCTCCACCCCCATAACACCGCAAACCATCCATTCCACTCTCCACCCCCATCATACCGCAAACAACCCATACCTCTCTCCACCCCCATCATACCGCACATCAATCATACCACTCTCCACCCCCATCACACCGCACATCAATCATACCACTCTCCACCCCCATCACACCGCAAACCATCCATTCCACTCTCCACCCACATCATACCACACATCAATCATACCACTATCCACCCCATCACACCGCAAACCACCCATACCACTCTCCACCCCCATCATGCCGCACATCAATCATACCACTCTCCACCCCCATCACACCGCACATCAATCATACCACTCTCCACCCCCATAACACCGCATACCACCCATACCACTCTCCACCCCCATCACACCGCAAACCACCCATACCACTCTCCACCCCCATCACACCGCAAACCACCCATACCACTCTCCACCCCCATCACACCGCAAACCACCCATACCACTCTCCACCCCCATCACACCGCAAACCACCCATACCACTCTCCACCCCCATCACACCGCAAACCACCCATTCCACTCTCCACCCCACCACACCGCAAACCACCCATACCACTCTCCACCCCATCACACCGCAAACCACCCATACCACTCTCCACCCCCACCACACCGCAAACCACCCATACTACTCTCCACCCCCATCACACCGCAAACCACCCATTCCACTCTCCACCCCCACCACACCGCAAACCACCCATACTACTCTCCACCCCCATCACACCGCAAACCACCCATACCACTCTCCACCCCCACCACACCGCAAACCACCCATACTACTCTCCACCCCCATCACACCGCAAACCACCCATTCCACTCTCCACCCCCACCACACCGCAAACCACCCATACTACTCTCCACCCCCATCACACCGCAAACCACCCATTCCACTCTCCACCCCCACCACACCGCAAACCACCCATACTACTCTCCACCCCCATCACACCGCAAACCACCCATTCCACTCTCCACCCCCACCACACCGCAAACCACCCATACTACTCTCCACCCCCATCACACCGCAAACCACCCATACTACTCTCCACCCCCATCACACCGCAAACCACCCATACCACTCTCCACCCCCATCACACCGCAAACCACCCATACTACTCTCCACCCCCATCACACCGCAAACCACCCATACCACTCTCCACCCCCATCACACCGCAAACCACCCATACCACTCTCCACCCCCATCACACCGCAAACCACCCATACTACTCTCCACCCCCATCACACCGCAAACCACCCATACTACTCTCCACCCCCATCACACCGCAAACCACCCATACCACTCTCCACCCCCATCACACCGCAAACCACCCATTCCACTCTCCACCCCCACCACACCGCAAACCACCCATACTACTCTCCACCCCCATCACACCGCAAACCACCCATACTACTCTCCACCCCCACCACACCGCAAACCACCCATAATACTCTCCACCCCCATCACACCGCAAACCACCCATACCACTCTCCACCCCCATCACACCGCAAACCACCCATTCCACTCTCCACCCCCACCACACCGCAAACCACCCATACTACTCTCCACCCCCATCACACCGCAAACCACCCATACCACTCTCCACCCCCATCACACCGCAAACCACCCATTCCACTCTCCACCCCCATCACACCGCAAACCACCCATACTACTCTCCACCCCCATCACACCGCAAACCACCCATACCACTCTCCACCCCCATCACACCGCAAACCACCCATTCCACTCTCCACCCCCACCACACCGCAAACCACCCATACTACTCTCCACCCCCATCACACCGCAAACCACCCATTCCACTCTCCACCCCCATCACACCGCAAACCACCCATACTACTCTCCACCCCCATCACACCGCAAACCACCCATACCACTCTCCACCCCCATCACACCGCAAACCACCCATACCACTCTCCACCCCCATCACACCGCAAACCACCCATACCACTCTCCACCCCCATCACACCGCAAACCACCCATACCACTCTCCACCCCCATCACACCGCAAACCACCCATACTACTCTCCACCCCCATCACACCGCAAACCACCCATACTACTCTCCACCCCCATCACACCGCAAACCACCCATACCACTCTCCACCCCCATCACACCGCAAACCACCCATACCACTCTCCACCCCCATCACACCGCAAACCACCCATACCACTCTCCACCCCCATCACACCGCAAACCACCCATACCACTCTCCACCCCCATCACACCGCAAACCACCCATACTACTCTCCACCCCCATCACACCGCAAACCACCCATACTACTCTCCACCCCCATCACACCGCAAACCACCCATACCACTCTCCACCCCCATCACACCGCAAACCACCCATACCACTCTCCACCCCCACCACACCGCAAACCACCCATACTACTCTCCACCCCCATCACACCGCAAACCACCCATTCCACTCTCCACCCCCACCACACCGCAAACCACCCATACTACTCTCCACCCCCATCACACCGCAAACCACCCATACCACTCTCCACCCCCATCACACCGCAAACCACCCATTCCACTCTCCACCCCCACCACACCGCAAACCACCCATACTACTCTCCACCCCCATCACACCGCAAACCACCCATTCCACTCTCCACCCCCACCACACCGCAAACCACCCATACTACTCTCCACCCCCATCACACCGCAAACCACCCATACTACTCTCCACCCCCACCACACCGCAAACCACCCATACTACTCTCCACCCCCATCACACCGCAAACCACCCATTCCACTCTCCACCCCCACCACACCGCAAACCACCCATACTACTCTCCACCCCCATCACACCGCAAACCACCCATTCCACTCTCCACCCCCACCACACCGCAAACCACCCATACCACTCTCCACCCCCACCACACCGCAAACCACCCATACTACTCTCCACCCCCATCACACCGCAAACCACCCATACCACTCTCCACCCCCACCACACCGCAAACCACCCATACTACTCTCCACCCCCATCACACCGCAAACCACCCATTCCACTCTCCACCCCCACCACACCGCAAACCACCCATTCCACTCTCCACCCCCATCATACCGCAAACCACCCATACCACTCTCCACCCCCACCCCCACCACACCGCAAACCACCCATTCCACTCTCCACCCCCATCATACCGCAAACCACCCATACCACTCTCCGACCCCACCCCCATCACACCGCAAACCACCCATACCACTCTCCACCCCCATCACACCGCAAACCACCCATTCCACTCTCCACCCCCATCACACCGCAAACCACCCATACCACTCTCCACCCCCATCACACCGCAAACCACCCATACCACTCTCCACCCCCATCACACCGCAAACCACCCATACCACTCTCCACCCCCATCACACAGCTAACCACCCATACCACTCTCCACCCCCATCACACCGCAAACCACCCATACCATTCTCCAACCCCATCACACCGCAAACCACCCATACCACTCTCCACCCCCATCACACAGCAAACCACCCATTCCACTCTCCACCCCCATCACACCGCAAACCACCCATACCACTCTCCACCCCCATCACACCGTAAACAACCCATACCTCTCTCCACCCCCATAACACTGCAAACCACCCATTCCACTCTCCACCCCCATCATACCGCAAACAACCCATACCACTCTCCACCCCCATCACACCGCACATCAATGATACCACTCTCCACCCCCATCACACCGCAAACCACCCATTCCACTCTCCACCCCCATCATACCGCAAACCACCCATACCACTCTCCACCCCCATCACACCGTAAACAACCCATACCTCTCTCCACCCCCATAACACCGCAAACCACCCATTCCACTCTCCACCCCCATCATACCGCAAACAACCCATACCTCTCTCCACCCCCATCACACCGCACATCAATCATACCACTCTCCACCCCCATCACACCGCACATCAATCATACCACTCTCCACCCCCATAACACCGCAAACCATCCATTCCACTCTCCACCCACATCATACCGCACATCAATCATACCACTATCCACCCCCATCACACCGCAAACCACCCATACCACTCTCCACCCCCATCATGCCGCACATCAATCATACCACTCTCCACCCCCATCACACCGCACATCAATCATACCACTCTCCACCCCCATCACACCGCATACCACCCATACCACTGTCCATCCCCATCATGCCGCAAACCACCCATTCCACTCTCCACCCCCATAAAACCGCAAACCACCCATTCCACTCTCCACCCCCATCACACCGCAAACCACCCATACCACTCTCCACCCCCATCACACCGCAAACCACCAATACCACTCTCCACCCCCATCACACCGCAAACCACCCATTCCACTCTCCACCCCCATCACACCGCAAACCACCCATACCACTCTCCACCCCCATCACACCGTAAACCACCCATACCACTCTCCACCCCACCACACCGCAAACCACCCATACCACTCTCCACCCCATCACACCGCAAACCACCCATACCACTCTCCACCCCCACCACACCGCAAACCACCCATACCACTCTCCACCCCCACCACACCGCAAACCACCCATACCACTCTCCACCCCCATCACACCGCAAACCACCAATACCACTCTCCACCCCCATCACACCGCAAACCACCCATTCCACTCTCCACCCCCATCACACCGCAAACCACCCATACCACTCTCCACCCCCATCACACCGTAAACCACCCATACCACTCTCCACCCCACCACACCGCAAACCACCCATACCACTCTCCACCCCATCACACCGCAAACCACCCATACCACTCTCCACCCCCACCACACCGCAAACCACCCATACCACTCTCCACCCCCACCACACCGCAAACCACCCATACCACTCTCCACCCCCATCACACAGCAAACCACCCATTCCATTCTCCACCCCCATCATACCGCAAACCACCCATACCACTCTCCACCCCCACCCCCATCACACCGCACATCAATCATACCACTCTCCACCCCCATCACACCGCACATCAATCATACCACTCTCCACCCCCATCACACAGCAAACCACCCATTCCATTCTCCACCCCCATCACACAGCAAACCACCCATACCACTCTCCACCCCCACCCCCATCACACCGCACATCAATCATACCACTCTCCACCCCCATCACACCGCACATCAATCATACCACTCTCCACCCCCATCACACCGCACATCAATCATACCACTCTCCACCCCCATCACACCGCACATCAATCATACCACTCTCCACCCCCACCCCCATCACACCGCAAACCACCCATACCACTCTCCACCCCCATCATACCGCAAACCACCCATACCACTCTCCACCCCCATAACACCGCAAACCACCCATTCCACTCTCCACGCCCATCACACCGCAAACCACCCATACCACTCTCCACCCCCATCACACCGCATATCAATCATACCACTCTCCACCCCCATCACACCGCAAACCACCCATACCACACTCCATCCCCATCATACCGGAAACCACCCATACCACTCTCCACCCCCATCACACCGCACATCAATCATACCACTCTCCACCCCCATCACACCGCAAACCACCCATACCACTCTCCACCCCCATCACACCGCAAACCACCCATACCACTCTCCAACCCCATCACACCGCACATGAATCATACCACTCTCCACCCCCATCACACCGCAAACCACCCATACCACTCTCCAACCCCATCATACCGCAAACCACCAATTCCACTCTTCATCCCCATCACAACGCAAACCACCCATACCACTCTCCACCCCCATCACACCGCACATCAATCATACCACTCTATACCCCCATCACACCGCAAACCACCCATACCACTCTCCAACCCCATCATACCGCAAACCACCCATTCCACTCTCCATCCCCATCACAACGCAAACCACCCATACCACTCTCCACCCCCATCACACTGCACATCAATCATACCACTCTCCACCCCCATCACACCGCAAACTACTCTCCACCCCCATCAGTGAGTGAGTGAATGAGTTGGGTTTAACGCCGCTTTTAACAGTATTCCAGTTATATCACGGCGTGTCAGCTTAATGTGGGAGGAAAGCCCGAAGTGATGCAGGTCTTAGACGTTTACCACCTCGGTGAAACCCACGAGCACGGGTATGGTGCTGACAAACCTAGAAACATAATCGGGGTGAACCGGGATTCGAACCCACAATCATAGGTTTCTGGCGTGCCCAAGGGACGCAACTCTGCACAGCGAATCGCGCCGCCTTAGACGACTGGGCCACCCGTGCCCCCCTCCACTCCCATCACACCGCAAACCACCCATACCACTCTCCACCCCCATCACATCGCAAACCACCCATACCACTCTCCACCCCCATCACATCGCAAACCACCCATACCACTCTCCATCCCCATCACACCGCACATGAATCATACCATTCTCCACCCCCATCACACCGCACATCAATCATACCACCCTCCACCCCCATCACACCGCAAACCACCCATACCACTCTCCACCCCCATCACACCGCAAACCACCCATTCCGCTCTCCACCCCCATTACACCGCAAACCATCCATACCACTCTCCACCCCCATCACACCGCAAACCACCCATACCACTCTCCACCCCCATTACACCGCAAACCATCCATACCACTCTCCATCCCCATCACACCGCAAACCTTCCATTCCACTCTCCACCCCCATTACACCGCAAACCATCCATACCACTCTCCACCCCCATCACACCGCAAACCACCCATACCACTCTCCATCCCACCATATACACAAGTGCAAGTTGTGTTAGTGTAAGACTGTAAAGTTATAATGTATTCAACACAGTAGTACATGTACAATTGAATCGGATACTTTCACCGATTTCACAACACAGTGAACATCCAACACCTTGAACTATTCTCCCTGACCATTCAGTTCCCTGACTATCTGTACGTACCGTGGCATTTGGTCTCCATAGTGAGTTGGAAGTATGTCTCGTTTGTGTCCAGTGATAGGTGACAGCTACTTAAGGCGAAAGTGGAGGACGAAGAGGCGTGTAGATCACCGGAGCCTCGGTCTGGGGCATCCAATTAGGTGCAATAACGTCACGGTATAAAAGAAACACATTTTGTAATTACCTGCACATACACACAATGAAGGCCATAGTTAACTTTGTTTGACCGGGTGGGGGGGAATGGGAAGGTACTTCTTCAAGTATCACTTGTCCCCAACTTGTATTTTCATGATTCAAATAAAACTGTTTTTTATATAAACCCCCCCCCCCCCCCCCCCCGGCTGGCTACGGCACTGCACATGTATGCAACTCAGATCAGAGCGCCGTCAGCAACACACACGCCCACACGTTGGTTCATGTTCAAAGGGACCGCCTCCGTGATCTAGTGGTAGAGCGCTGCCCGGAGAGGGAAGGTCCGGGGTTCAATCCCCGGCAGCGTCATAACAAAGACGTTAAAAGATTGTACTTGTTGTTACCCTGCCTGGCGCTCGCCATTAAGGTCCTAAATCTGCCTGGCGCTCGGCATTAAGGTGCTAAAACAAGACCGGTCGGCTCTGAGTCAGTAAACTGTGTCTGAGTGGGGTATTCATATTAAACTGCAGCATGGTATCTCAGTGGGCCAGCAATATATAATCGGCAACAGTCCGGACTAGTACAAGCAGCCGAACACTCACACACACACGTGAATGCACGCCGCTATAAAAATGCAACAATCTTGTACAATCTTGTAACCCATTTCACCTCACCCATAGTTCAAAGTGCGATTGCCGAGTCGTATGTATTACAGGTGTTCATATCTCCTGTCTTGCGAAACACTGCACCAAGGAAACAATGGAGGTTGATACAGATCAGTACATGGGGTTAAGGAGTGTCTTGTTCGGCTGATAGCGGAGCGTTAACAGATACGTGTGACTTTGACTCGCGTGATTGTTTCAGCGGATGAAGTCCATGTATATATTTCGAAATCTATAACATCAACGCCAGAAAATAACGATTATCTAACGAAACAGTTTCATTCGGTGAAAAGGCAAAACAGCGGTGAAAACTATATGAATGGATCACTGAAAATCAGTGATGACACCAGGTTTTCACAAGATGGGTAAACATGCCCCGCCCTACCGGTAACAACCGCTCCAGTGGGGTTCAGATGACTCGGATGACCAAACACTCAACAGATCAGCAATATTCCAGCTATATGACGGCGGTCTGTAAATAATCGAGCCTGGACCAGACAATCCAGTGATTGACATCATGAGCATCAATCCACGCAATTGGGACGCGATGACATGCATCAACCAAGTCAGCGAGCTTGACCACCCGATCCCGTTAGTCGCCTCTTCATGACAGTGCTGACCTGGTGACACCATTGACATGGGGGCACTAACGTTCAAATAATGTACGGATTGTTGCAACCAACGCCAATACATGTGAATGTTTGTCCTACCCAAACCAGGAATGATGTGTCGATTGTGTCCAGCTTCACAGCATTTATGATAACAATTATGTTTATTTATGTCTTCCTTAAGCGTGGCCCCGCTGGGACAAGAATAAGGAATAAAAGAAGTTGTTATCCACAAAAAGTGCCCTGTAGTCAGTATCGTCGTTGTCCCACGGAGAGTAGCTATCTTACAGATGAGTCACAATAAGATGAGGTGAGGTGAAATGGGGTTTAACGTCGCGTCCAAGATTATTGCACTTATATAGCGACGTGAAGGTGATGTGTGTGTGTGTGTGTGTGTGTGTGTGTGTGTGTGTGTGTGGCTGCTTGTACTAGTCCGGACTGATGCCGATTTATAGTGCTAGCACACTGAGATACCATGCCGCAGTTTAACATGGATACCCACTCAGACACAGTATACTGACTCCGAGCCGACCAGTCCTTGTTTTAGCCCCTTAATACCGCCAGACAGGGTAACAACAAGTACCATCTTTTCACGTCTTTTGCTATGACGCGCCGGAAATCGAACCCCGGACCTTCCGCTCTCCTGGCGGACGCTGTACCTCTATACCAGGGAGGCGGTCGAGTCACAATGACCTTTGCTCATGTCACATGAGATATCTTGGATGAACCATATCACCATCACACCCACACCTGTCACAGTATTACAACATCGTGATATCAACCGCGGATTTACTTAAGAGCCTCCAGCTTTGTCAGTCAAAATAAAAGCAACAGGCTGAAGTACACTACTGTGAGGTGAGGTGAAATGGGGTTTAACGTCGCGTCCAAGATTATTGCACTTATATAGCGACGTGCATGTACGTGTGTGCGTTTGTGTGGCTGCTTGTACTAGTCCGGACTGATGCCGATTTATAGAGCTAGCTTACTGAGATACCATGCCGCAGTTTAACATGGATACCCGACTCAGACACAGTATACTGACTCCGAGCCGACCAGTCCTTGTTTTAGCCCCTTAATGCCGAGCGCCAGACAGGGTAACAACAAGTACCATCTTTTAATGTCTTTTGGTATGACGCGGCCGGGGATCGAACCCCGGACCTTCCGCTCTCCGGGCGGACGCTCTACCACAAGACCACGGAGGCGGTCAGTACTGTGACTGGCACGTATTGAAGATTAAAAGGGTCATGTGATGAGATATGGTGCTGATGTCGTAATGTCCTACTGTATATCAGTCGAGGCCAACCCAGCTACGCCGTGTGTTGCAATACTCACCAACAATGACATATTAGACATAGTCAAGGGAAGAAGCGAGTGTTTTTTTATATTTTATCCTGATATATTTAGAGGGTATTGCCTTGACCCACCACGCGCTGGTGGCGTGATGGTCCAATAAAGCTCCTTATTAGGCCCGTAAAACCATCATCTAGTTTTCTCAGGAATCCGCGGATTGCTTCATAATCACCTACATCTGTTCAGTTATTATGTTTTAGTGAATAGTGAGAAGATTTACCTAGGATGAATTTAAAATGTAACTGGAAAATAATCTCAGCACACGTGTATGAAGGTCAGGGGTTCGATCCCCGACCGCGCCAGACGTTAAAAGATGATAATTGTCGTTACCCTGCCTGGCGCTCGGCATAAAGGGGCTAAAACAAGGACTGGTCGGCTCGGAGTCTGTATACTGTGTCTGAGTCGGGTATCCATGTTAAACTACGGCATGGTATCTCAGTGTGCTAGCACTATAAAATTGGCATTATTCTACAAGCAGTCACACATACACACACGTGGATGCACGTCGTTATATACGTGCAATAATCTAGAACGCGACGTTATAAACCCTATTTCACTTCACCCCACCTCACAAGTATCCTAGACCATGTTTAAACGTTAAGACACTTATACCACCCGACACAACCTTTGTGTCGACGCCCTGGGGCCTTGAATGGTGTCCAGGTCAAGTTTGTAATCGTGAGATACACCCCCAAATCTGTACCGAGCCTCCCCAATAAGGGACAGTTGCCACGATGTTCCTGAGTGTATGGCCTGTGTCTCCAAACTCTCAGCCATCTATCCATGGCATGGAGCAGGGTCCTACATTCGTGCGACCAGTGGGTTTTCCACTAAGCGGCCAGGGCCTAGATTTTCGAAACGATCTTAGCTAAGACATATCTTAACAACTTACGTTCAAAGATAAGATATCTTAAGGCTAAGATAAGATAGATTTTCGAAACTATCGTAAACCTGTCGCAGATCGTTCAGAGTTACCATACCTGTCGTAACTCCGACAGAGAACTCATTTGTGTTAGAGATTGAAAAAGCGGGGTGTTTCCCAGTGACGTCACGGGGATTTCCCAGCTGCTGACAATAACAACAACATAGATAAATGAGACGGAATTCATGATCACATTGTCAGGTCACATTGTTTAACATGCACATATTTGAGTGAAATTCTGTACAACCCTACATGCAGACGTTTTGTTCTTATGATAAATGATGCCATGACTACCCGAACACAAATAGCATTCGTGTGCCATGCAATAGCATTTTTCAAAACCAATAAATGTTATAATCAATAAGTGTAGTGTCTAGATCCATAATTATTTTCCAAATTTAAAAGTGACGATAATTATCGTTCGCAAAGAGAGAATTGTAGATACATAGATAGATAATTTAGGAATTGTCAAGTTATGTTGTCTCATGCAACAAGCCGCAAGTTAACGTGAACATACATACAATGTAGTCATTTTCTATCCTTTTAAATTAAGTAGAGCTAATATACTTATTTGTCTGATTTCATTTAAATCTGGCTGAGGAGCGAAATAATTTGTAATGTGTCAAACCATAGACCGCCCTACCGATAGGGTAGCCATTGTAGCCCGATAGCTTTGAAGGATATCCCTGTGAAATAAATTCTGATGATTTGCCATCTTTACGCCTCTGATATCCCCCTTCATGCCATGTTCACAGAGATTTAAACATTGCAAGACAGCGGGTTCAAATACCCCAAGGTGGTGCCCGAACATTGCTGCATTTCAGAGAATGAATGCGTTGCATGCTGCGCGCGCATGTCACGGTACGTCAGATTTGACGTCACCGACATCATGAACGATCACACCCTACTGATGGAACACCACACTTGTCATTGTCATCACTTCCACTTCAGTTGACATTGCTGGTGACATGTTAGGATTGATTATCAAAGGGGCTGATCAACCTTTTCCAATTGAGAAGGAGTTTGAGTGTAGATAGTCGTAGCGGCAAGATAGTTTAGTGCGTGGGTCGGGGTGTTTTTGAGTGCCAAATGTTCTGAGACGATAATGTGTTGTGGGTCAAATATGAGTCAAGTGCTTCCTCCTTTCAGAGACAAAAATGAAGCGTTGACTTATAAAAATAGTCTGTCTCAAACACAAATCCCAGATCTTATTTCTCCCTGGTATATTGAATGGTTCAACCCTAACATTTGTTTGTTTATTGTTTAACGCCGCACTAAGCAATATTCCAGCTATATGACGGCGGTATGAAAATTATTGAGTCTGGACCAGACAATCCAGTGATGTGTGGCAGTGATGGCAATGGTTGTGCCAGGAGGCTCATGTAGGCTCAGTGATTGACCATGAGCATCGATCCACCCAACTGGGATACGATGACACGCATCAACCAAGTCAGCGAACCTGACCACCCG